CGATTATTGCAGAATGTGCCCTTGGAAAGCGAATCTCTAGAATCTTTTCTGAACCACCAGTTACACCTTCAATGGTATATGCTAGAAAAATAACGGGTTGACGACTCGAAAGTAGAGTTCATGCTGACCATGTGGGCGGAGAAAGTCAATCACCATGCCTTCCTCGTTAGTATGCCCCTTCCCTCTACCTTCCTGGAGGAAATAGAACATCAGTGAGGGGGGGGGACGCAATGGCTGATCGACCGCCATATATGAAACCATCATGGACTACTCCTTCAACCAGATGTTGCCCAGCTTTGAAGTCGAAAAGAACCTACCAAGCATTTCACTGTAAGCCGTCAGTACACAGCACGTTAGTAGTACAGTACAAATGCGATAGTAGCGCATCTGAAATAGCGTACTTTTACTGATTATTGTTCGTGGGCCTCTAATTATCCCTATTGAACGAGTTTCACACATATTTATAGAGCCGGCCGTGCAGTACTGAGGTCACCCATGCGGCACGGTCGCGATGCGGTCTCGGTTAGCTTTCACGTAAATAAGAGAGTATGAACACGATCAATAAATTGATGCGAAACACAAGATTATATGTAGCTTCAGGAATACAGACGGTATAAAGTATCCCTGAAAATTGCTCGTGAAATCAAATGCGACTGCCCGTGCACTGGGCACACCGTAAGCCGTCTAGTGACCAAGATTTCAGGTACGTTTATGAGCGTGTTGTTTACCTTTTATACTGTGCGACTGATGTACGTTTCACATTAACCCGACTTTTACACAGTAGGGAGAGGGGGTGGAAGCTCATCAGGAAGCAAGGATGTCGCTTCCGCTTCCCCACCCATAGCCAGGCGCTGTTTAGATGGAAATTGAGAGTTCTGTGTGCATTGGCTAGTGCTACGCACTTTATTTTGAGCGCAGTTTTGGATAGTGTATCCCCTGTTAACCTGGACTGATTGAGGCAGTGTTCATACTTTGCGACTTGAGCGTGCGACCACTTGACAATCGCGCACTGACCGCTGATCATTTTGCACTGCAACTGCCGATTCATTCGTATTCAGAATGGAACTTCGTTCTACCGTTGCAGCGCTCGCACGATTAGCGGTAGAGCGCGGTTAGCAAGCATGCGACATCCATTCGCGCGACCAAAACGCTCGAGTTGCGAAGTATGAACGTGGTGGGAGGGCGAAAAACCACTTATATAGCAACGGTACTTATAAGTCCCAGCTCGTTTCTCCTGGGGGAGGGCCCCTTGTCACGGATCACGGCTCAGCTAGGGCACAGGTTAGCGTTGCGAAAAATCAGAAACGGCACCTCTATCGGATTTTATCCTTTATACAACCCCCCCCCAGATACACAAGGCATTTCTCCGGATGTTCACCGTGGATGCATAAAGAGCATCAGGTTGGGTAACATCGCGGTGACTGTCTACCCACGCAGTACCAAAATCACCCAATATCCTACCCATTCTCAGGAATCGTTCCATTTCATACCAGAACACGCATCGAGCTTGGGAAGGGGCTGGAATGTGTCCTCGCCAAACAACTACCACAGTCCGCTATAAGAAGTGGTAATTGATATGGTGAAACAGAAAAAAAAATCCCACAAAGTGAAATTTATCTCTTACCGCGGAAACACTTTCATCACCCCTCTCCTCCTTTGACCAGAATGCGAACCCTTTCATCGGTATTCTATCAGTGACCAGGTCCCAGAACGGAGAATAAAGTTTTTTTCAGAGAGCACTCGGCCGGCCAATTTGCAATGACCCCTCCGTGGCTTCACGTGACCGGTTGCCTACAAACGCCTGACTCAGGAATCAGGCGCAGCGTGCACGTACCAAGAGTTGGGACACAGTCGCACAAAACCTCCCCCCCCTCACAAAAAAATCGGCTCCTCTCACTACGACCCCATATCGCAACCGTACCTACCATCCATTTTTTCCTGAGATTTTGCGCGGGTGGTGGCCCACATCGGTTCAGCCTTATTCGAATGGTATCTTTAGCGTCGCGGCCCGCGTAAGAAGGACGGGGAAGGGCCACAAGTCGCGTGTGAAACGGGATAATCTGCAATCGCACTTGCGTTTGTGGCACAGCAACAAAGTAGACCAGATGGTCTGAGCGTGTGGCACAAGTGCCATACAATCAGCCCGAGGATGAGGCTTCTAGCAACTTCAACGGTATGAAGGCTATTAAAAATGCAATAGAACAGTCCGGAAACTTGTTGAGAAAAGCTTCTCGAATGTGCACTTATGAGATGAATAAATGCATCAACTCAGCGCCTTTTATGTACTACTGGATCTTAGTTCTGGAAAATTGAATCGGATTGGTTGATTGCCTAGTTTTTAGGTCGTTCATCCGAGAACCAAGCAAATCTCAAGTGCAAATGTTTTTCTAGGGCTAAAGTGGGCTAAAGTGGAAACCGTTCAGCGACGAACCGTTTGACAGAAATGGATGGCCATTATTGAGTTTATCAGGTGTTCTCGCGTTCACACACTTCAACCAGAGTTTCTCTGGCAATAGGTGCAGATAGAATACTATAAAAACAGTCACAGGCCATTTAGTCCTGATACGGAATAGAAACGGTCTAAGCACTAGCGAATCTCTGGCTTCCAGTTCATGAACAGTTTTTGTGAGCACAACGCTCCACGCGTCGCCAAATTCTTCATACATCTCAGAAGGTAGAATCACCATTGTAATCGCTATTCATTTCGGAGCGCACTGTTTTATTGCTGCGTCAGCAAGTTGTTAGCCAGGCTTTATGGATGAGACAAGAACACAATAGCATTTGAGAAGATTCAAAATGATAAATGATAATGACCACTTGCACTGAATGGGCTGTTAGCTCGGTGAGGTTGCGCCACTCAACAGCTCATCTATTGGGTTGGCCCGAGAGCGTTCGTTTCCAAACCAACATTTTGTGTTAAAGAGAAAAATTTTTATTTCCACAGTGTTCGATAAAGAATGAATGACGAATCTTCAAACACTCACGTCCTCCCATTTCAAGCGAGTAAACTGGAGCGTCAAGTCGACAAAATGAGCATTCCCAACACGCTCACCTTTGCGCGTTTAACTAAAAAGCCACAGCCGCACATGGTTTCTGTAAAGTTTTTTTACTATAGACAAGGCTGCTTTCATACTTTGTGGCAGCGTCCACCAGCGTCTACTAGCGTCCACCAGCGACCACTAGCGTTCCGAGCGTCCGGCAGCGTCAGCGACTAGGAAAGTGTAGATATCGATCTAGCGTCTGCCAGCGTCCGCCAGCGTTCACCAGCGACCGGGAGTAGAGAGTACGGGATGTAGGAGGGTAGCAAACAGCTCGGTCAGGCGTCGTGAAATGGCGACGTGTGCAACCGCACCGTACAACTGCTAAAGCACAGAATTATGCAATCTTGTTGTACGGTGTAGTGCAGTTGTACGGTGCGGTTGCACACGCCGCAATTTCACGACGCCTAATCCAGCTGTTTGCTACCCTCCTACTTCCCCATACTCTCTACTCCCGGTCGCTGGTGAACGCTGATGGACGCTGGTAGACGCTAGCAGACACTGGCAGTCGCTAGAGGATACCTATACTCCCCTAGGCGCTGAGACCCTGCTTTTCGCTGATGGCGCTGGTAGACGCTGGTAGACGCTGGCAGACGCTACAGACGCTAGATCGATACCTATACTTCCCTAGCTCTCGAGACGCTGTTGGCTCGCTGGCAGACGCTGCCGCAAAGTATGAACTCACCCTAACAAGTAATGCCTCTGAAGACGCTCAAAGACAGACTCTTCACTCACCTCCGGGGCCGTTATCCCTGATATGTGTAAGACAAAAGAGTTCGCAGCTACATTGGCGTGTCACTTTCTCCCGTCAAGTGCTCGTGAATGAGGCTGTAGGGCATTGGTGTGCAAGTGGCTTCTCCATTCTCCACCCGCGCTATGCTCAAGGCGCAGTACTTGGCCAGTATCAGGTCCCACAACGAAACACGTACTCAGCGGTAGAGAACAACCAGGTCAGGCTCCTAGCCGGTCGTGCGGCAGTGCGGGACGGAGTGTCTAGTTGACATCGGGGTATCACTACTCTGCAATCCCGTTCCTGGGCACTTCTAAGCTGAAATAGTGGCTCACTATTGCAGCTGCGTACTCTTTCCTTCCCCTTCCGCCCCACACACGGCAAAGACCAGGATCTACGAGGGTGATTGTGCAGTTGGTCTTTGAAGGTTGGTTCTGAATTTTCGATTGAGACTTTCCAGAGAAGCCTGGATGCCTCATCGACTTTGACTGGAAGATGACGGATCCAGCTTATTCACGAGTGTCGCCAATTAATGCCAAACTGAAAAGGGACATGCTTCCACTCTTTGCCTAAGCGACACCTTCACTCGTTGAGAGAGGCCTAAAAACTTGACGCTTTGGGGCCTTCAGGAAGGGTGCGCTTAGCGCAGCGGCTCCATCGACTAACGGAAGCTGGCAGGCCAGCCGCAATCGTAGAAAGAACAGCTGGCGGCTGCGGCCGAGCTGTCCCAAGCCCCATGCCAAAACGTCCTTTGGCAGCGAGGCAAGCTGTGCCACACAGCTGTCTTCTCTGAGTTTACGCGACTTCCAACCTTTTCCCGAATTTCTTTTTTCCGGGAGCCTCAATTTCCCTAAAAAAACTGCTGTTAAGCAAGGGGCAAGACAGCGCAATTGAAACGGGAAAAAATGAGAAATCGGAAACCGAAAACCTTTTCTTTCGAAAGCCATTCCATCCAGTGACCAAATACGACCCCCTCGCTGGGGATCCCCAAAGTACGACGTGTCCTGTCTACAATCCTAGCGTTGAAACGAGCATTTTCCAGTAAAGGTTTGGTCAGTGCATACCGGCAGATGATCGTATCGATGAATTATTTTCAGCTGTCAGAATAGCCGACGGTGAATGTGTCACAGATCAGATGACTTGTGTCTCGTCACACCAAAGGGACGAAGGGACGGTCGCTGGTTGTTTATGTGAACCAGACACCTCCGGCTCCAGAACGAGCTCATTCGCCGATGATCATGCTTCTCCATTGGCTGCTGCTGCTCATAGCTTTTCTGGCCACGGCCGTCCAATGGGCCGTAGCCGATTTTCCTTTGAATGATGCTGACCTTAAAGCACGTCTCGATCTATCCGCATTCAAATTCTTCTCGAAAACAGCTCATCATGTGGTGAGTCCAGCTAATACTCTTTGAACTGTGAACTTCAGGGCTAAATGTAGCTTGAACTAAGGTTACTGAACCCCTCAGTTACTAAATTTTCTTTATGATATCAAAGGCTACGGTTTTCTTTTTGCGGAGCAAACATCCGGGCCCGGTTCGGCTTTGAGGAGGTGGGAGGGGGCTTTTCCACGTTCACTACTTCCCATCGTCGTGTTCATTGCTTATGGAGTTGACAGGTATTCCTTACAAGAGCTAACAAGACTCTCTACGAACTTCTTTATGGCTTTACAAAATTTCGCAGATCTCTATTCACTTGCTCAGCTCGACGATGCTAATGGTAAGTAGTGAAAATGCAAACTGCCCCCCCCCCTCCGAAGCCGAACTGCGCCGAAATTCGAAATTTTAGGACGTGATCTCGTTACACCTGATTCACGTAGTTGAGTCGCACTGTCGCGTCACTCATTCCAAACTAGATAAACACTTGATCATACGGAGCCCTGCACTTTTATGACACCGTGGGAATACTGTCAACTCTTTTCGCAGCGCGATGATGGTTGGAGTGAAGTCCTGTATGTTTATGCCGTAGTAAAAGAGGTAAAAATGCATTAGGCGGCACTATTAGTCCGTCTGGTACGTGCGCTGTCGCGAAGCGGACAAATGGCCCATGCCCACCACTGATGTCCTAATGCTTTATGCATTTACTGAGTATACTTTCTTGAGATTTTATTGCTCTAGGAAGAATTGTATGCTAGCCCGTTTGCGACAGCACGCAACTTTGACCAATCGATTTCCCCTCCTTAGTATTTTGCTTAGCGGGGGGGGGCGGGCTCGCCCACCACGGCGGGGGAGGCGCTAGGCCCCACAATTCATTTTTTTAACAGCAATTTCGAATTTAGCGATTTTCTGCTTCGTATACGTTTGATGGCTTGTTCTGAACGGAGTGTTCATGGAGATGTTTGAACTACACCGCATAAATTTCCGTAGATCCAACCAATAAAGAAGAAGGTTTTTTTAAGAGAAGGAAGAAGGCTCCCATAGGAACTTGGTACCAGTTAAGCAACCTGTGAGAAAGAAAAGCTCGTTTCGCCTATGGAAGGATAGGGAATCAGCTACGATAATCCCGAGCGAGGCATGCAATAAACTGTTACGCCTCATCCACTGGCATACAAATATGAGCGTTACCAATTTTGATCGCATATCGATTCAATTTTCAAATTTATGATTTTATTTGTGATCTGCCGTTTGTTATTTTCATAACTAGATGTCGACAAATTCAAACTTAAATTCACTGCCACTTTCAAATATGCCACTTTAGCAAGCGAATGACTGCCAAGGCGTCATTTTTCAAAAAGTTGGTGCGAGTTCCTCATCGATGGGCGGGCTTTTCTTTGGCAGTCCAAAAGTGTGACAATTTTCGAAGAAGATCAGAAATTTCGCAAGAAGAATCTAGTGGGTAGAGCTAATGTTCCAGTGACATAAATGTCGCGCGTTTATGAGCACCTCCGTCTGTAAAGAGCGGAGGTGAAATTGAAAAAGTTGAAAAAAGTTATGAAAATTCGAAGTTCGCAACGAACTCTTCGCAGGAAATCAGGCTAATACACTATGTATCCGATGTGCAGTCTTTTATCGAAATGAAGGTGCGAAACAGCAAAAAAAAAACATAAGGAGTCATAGAAGCAGACAGTTAATGAAGCAAAATTTGAAAGTCTGTGTCCGCGCTGACAAGTACGCGGGCCGTCGGACGGGGCTCGCAGTGGTGTCTGGCGTGGTCTGGTTGATGAATTGCACGGTCTTAAAAGTGAATGAACTTGATTTGAAAAGTGGTGAATTTTGTTTGAAAAATGGTGAATTTGGTTTGAAAAGTGGTGAATTTGGTTTGAAAAGTGGTGAATTTAAAGTGAAAATGGTATATTTGTATTTCAGGTGGATCTTGAGATACCAAAAATCACCATCCCGGACATTACTCTCGATATTACGGCTGGACCTGGGAGCGGCAAGGTCTCTGCGCATGATCTGAACATCACCAAATTCAAGTCACCGAAGTTAGTTTAGTTCATGATTTCCCTCAGAATGGCCTCAATGTGAGCCATAGATTGACGCAATTTTGGCGATCTTGGCGAGTTACCCGTTGTGGTGCAGAGCGGGAGGAGGTCGAATGGCGCAGTTGCCAACTGTTATGCCGCTACTCAGACGCTCAGGCTGACCGTAGCTGCCGCATATGCAGCTCTTTTTCTGCACCAGACAACTCGTCCAAAGAAACTCATCATCTGTATTGACGTGCTTGCTTCACCTACATTGGTAAGATACCACCACGGATACCGGTAAGTACCGATGACTTGACTGAGCATCTTCGTCTGCTTCTCAGCTAATTTCCGACTTATTTCCGCCAGCCTTCTGTAGCCAACCTCATTGTTGTTCTGCTGCTTATCGGAAAAGCGGGAATCATAATTAATTTCTCAATAGACTGTTAATGAGGTTGACCAAGGAGCGATATGGACTCAATGTTCGGAGTGGCGTGGGGGTGGCAACTACGGCAAGCGGAGCCCAGGTAGCAGTAAGACAGCCGACAAACGCGCCATTCGACAACCGCCCCTCTAACTGGGACCTTTTCATTAGGATAGACTGTCTTATTAGCAACCACATTTCCCTGTCTAGTTTGAATTTCTAAAACACATTCTGCGATATTTGGAGGAGTGGGGAACGCGCGTCACCATCTACCGTATCAGGGCGAGTATTGGCGCTATGAGAATTCGCCTATGATTATCACGAAATGTGACCCCGGTCAAAACCGTTAATAAGCCAATTTTATTTAGTTTTAATTTCCTGCTGAGCGAAGAAGGACTATCATGGTCGTCAAATGGAGGCGCTGTCAAAATCGGAGGTTTATGGGAGGCTGAATACACACTCGCTGTACCGGTAGGTTCCGCGTGGAAGTATTCTCGTTTGACCATTTCTGGTTATCTCATTAGAAAAAAGTGCACAGTTTGGTTTGGGCGGGGAGGGGGACAAGAGGCACGTTTCTCGTTCGCTAGTTCGTCTTACTACTTCCTGTTGAAATATGCGCCTAACCTTGGTGCGACCTGTAGACTCTTTCATCTGTGAAAGGAGCTAGCCCTGATCTTTATCTTCACAGGATTAACATGTCTTCACAGGAGGCATCGGTAATAATCGATGAGAATCAGCAAAATGCCCCCTCCAAGCCGAACTGTGCCGAAAAAAGCCTTCCACTTACTGAAAATTATTCTTTGCAGTTCCGTGAATCCGGCTGGATTCAAGTGCTAGCAGCGGATATTCAAGTGAACGTATCGGCACGAGTGTTGGACGTTCAGGCACGACCTCAAATCGTACTCGGGAACTGCACAGCCGACATTGACTGAACTATTTGTAACTTCCGGTACGTTTTTGCGTTACCAAAACCTCACTGTACTGATTACAGTTGCTCACCTTGTAAGGATGTGGTACTGTAAGGTTCGGTAATTCGGCAAACATTGACCCCTGTACCCTAGGCCGAAGGGGGGGGCGGGACCAGCTGAATCCATGGCCTCTGTAAGGCGCGTTCATTACTTGTAGCGTACAGCGTCGCGCCTTACAGCGCCGCTTCGCAAACGTACTGCATCCAACGTCTAGGATGATTAGAGTTGCTTACAGAGAAAAGTGGGAAGGTTGCTGGAGTTTTCTTGAGAAATTCACGGAAAGGTGAGACTGATACAGCTGTAACTATCTGACCATCCTTGACAGTTACTCCATTAGTCACTATTTTTCTGGTACTGCTTTAATAACAGTGTCCTTCTGTCCTATTAAGAGCATTTTCTGCAAAAAACACCCAAAGAGTACTCGCGCCACCTAAAAACACGCACGCATGTTTTCTTTACTTTTCGCTTCGCCTTTTTCGCTTTTGACTTTGCTCGTGGAGCTTCACTTTTCCAATGTTGCTTTTCTTTACTTTTAATTTAATTTCGCGCGCTTCGGCTGGGAGGCGATCCTCCCTTATGCGTGTAAGTGGGCCCCGGCCATCAGACTCGAGGCCCAGTCGATCGCCCGCCTTCGGCGCGAGTCGCATCCTGCTTTATTGCCTGCTCTTGTGAAGTGCGTTCCCCGCCATCCAAACTGAGGCCCAGTCGATCGCGCCTTGCGCGGCGTCCTCCTTATGCGTGTGAAGTGGGTTCCCGGCCATCCAAACTGAGGCCAGTCGGATCGCCCGCCTTCGGCGGGCGATCCTCCTTATGCGTGTGAAGTGGGTCCCCGGCCATCCAAACTGAGGCCAGTCGGATCGCCCGCCTTCGGCGGGCGATCCTCCTTATGCGTGTGAAGTGGGTCCCCGGGCCATCCAAACTGAGGCCCAGTCGGATCGCCCGCCTTCGGCGGGCGATCCTCCTTATGCGTGTGAAGTGGGTCCCCGGCCATCCAAACTGAGGCCCAGTCGGATCGCCCGCCTTCGGCGGGCGATCCTCCTTATGCGTGTGAAGGTCCCCGGCCATCCAAACTGAGGCCCAGTCGGATCGCCCGCCTTCGGCGGGCGATCCTCCTTATGCGTGTGAAGTGGGTCCTCCGGCCATCCAAACTGAGGCCCAGTCGGATCGCCGCCTTCGGCGGGCGATCCTCCTTATGCGTGTGAAGTGGGTCCCCGGCCATCCAAACTGAGGCCCAGTCGGATCGCCCGCCTTCGGCGGCGATCCTCCTTATGCGTGTGAAGTGGGTCCCCGGCCATCCAAACTGAGGCCCAGTCGGATCGCCCGCCTTCGGCGGGCGATCCTCCTTATGCGTGTGAAGTGGGTCCCCGGCCATCCAAACTGAGGCCCAGTCGGATCGCCCGCCTTCGGCGGGCGATCCTCCTTATGCGTGTGAAGTGGGTCCCCGGCCATCCAAACTGAGGGCCAGTCGGATCGCCCGCCTTCGGCGGGCGATCCTCCTTATGCGTGTGAAGTGGGTCCCCGGCCATCCAAACTGAGGCCCAGTCGGATCGCCCGCCTTCGGCGGGCGATCCTCCTTATGCGTGTGAAGTGGGTCCCCGGCCATCCAAACTGAGGGCCAGTCGGATCGCCCGCCTTCGGCGGGCGATCCTCCTTATGCGTGTGAAGTGGGTCCCCGGCCATCCAAACTGAGGGCCAGTCGGATCGCCCGCCTTCGGCGGGCGATCCTCCTTATGCGTGTGAAGTGGGTCCCGGCCATCCAAACTGAGGCCCAGTCGGATCGCCCGCCTTCGGCGGGCGATCCTCCTTATGCGTCGTGAAGATCGTCCGGTCCCTTGGCCCATCCAAACTGAGGCCAGTCGGATCCGCTCTCCTTTCCGCTACAGAAAATTTTTCTTTGCAATTCATTAGTCACTATCCGATTTACAACATTGGAAAAATAATAAACCACACCAAAGATAGACAGGATAATATAATAAATTTAAGATTAAAGGAATAGAACTAGAAATATGACTGAAGTGGGAGATTATGTGTATTTGAGTGTGTAGGAATGAGTAGCAGATATTCGTGAATAAACAAATAAATAAATACAAAAAAGAATTTTAGTAAGTTCATGAACCTTTCACGATAATGACTTCATATTAGTCTACAGCTCTCTCACTTGACTTGTGATCGTCTGTAATATTATGAACTTGTGCAGCAGGCGTCGCCGACTCGGCGCACATCTCATTCGCTGGGTGTCTCTTCACTTATGTTACCCGTCCCTCGCCCCCCCCCCCCATAGAATGCAGCCACTCGAATTTTCTGTGACACAAATGCGAGTCGATCACAGAGCTTGTTCATCCAAACACTGCTCGCAAAAATGCTTTAAGTTCTAGCGTAGCAACTGCTCATTTGCCCAATGTTCACAGTGTCAGCATCTGCATTGTATACAATGTCGTGAATCGTATGATAAAACAGCCATGTTATTACCAAGAATACTGATGGAAAAAGTGATTTTTGCTTCACACGCCCATTTCAAGTATGCCTTCTTCCGTTCAAACTCGACCGACTCTTCTTCTCCTTGTTTTCCCGTGCTTCGTGGTAGTTCCCGGGTTCGACAACTTCGAAATTTTTTACTTGCCCGTCCGCCTATAGAGAATGTTTTGTCCCCAGCCCCTGTGATCTTCCGGAGGAATTTTACGAATTTTTATCGTTGGCACTACTCATTTTCGTGCACGCCCCGTCTATTGTGTGCGAGGCTTAGATCAGTTTGTGTATTCGGTAAAATTTCATCATGCCCTCACCCCCATCCCAATGTTGACGGCGTTTAAGAGTTTTGTTGACAACGTTTTCAAGAGACACCGCTCAGCGATACATAGGCCCCGCCCATTGTGGGCGGAGCCTATTCTCCTATTGGTCCGACAAACGGACAGACAACTTCTGCTTTATATTATAGAGTTATGGATAATATGGTTTCACAGTTGCTGACATGTTTGATGCGCTTTGCTTGATGTCTTGCCAGTGCTCACTAGCCTCGTGTTGATCCCCCATTGCGAAATTGTGTCTTTCTACTACGAGTACGGAGGACGCTCGCTGGTCGTCTAACGTTTCGCAATTCGCCAACGTGAGCGAAACACTGCAACGGCCATGAAGCGAAAGCATCAGAATAGCAACTCTGAAACCAACTATATTAAGTCAAAGCGATAAATAAAACAATTATGATCAGTCCTCTATTCAGAAACTACATCAACGCCATTCGCGGACCAGGCGCGTTATTTTTCCGGAAGAACGGCTCACTTCGGACCAGAGCATTTGCGAGCTCTCAGCAAGTGTCCGCCACCAATGGTAGACACGGTCCCTCGCGACCCCTCACTAAAAATCCTAGCACTATTCAACATTTTGCTCCAGAAATTTCCTTTTTTTACTGCACCATCGCACGGGTGCAGGGGTTTATTCTCACGCGTCACAAGAAATGACATTCTCTCTCCTTCGAGGTGCCCTGTCTCCTTACATCTGGCGCCACGTGTGCGCTATTTTGGTGTTAGAAGTTCTTCCCTCGAAAATCCGTATAAGCTTGCATATTGAGGTAATTTAACATATTGAGGTGGCTCAAAACCTGATGGCAAGGAGGTTTTGAGCCTTGCCACAGAAGACTATAATTGAGCGAGCGGAGGTTCGTGGTACTCGTGTTCAAGAAGGTCAAACCATCTCATAATCATCACAGCTGTAATTATCTGACCATCTTTGACAGTTACTCGATTAGTCACTATTTTTCTGGTACTGCTTTTAGCGTAACAGTGTCCTTCTGTCCTACTAACGTTAGAGAGCATTTCGCAGATATTATCAGCAGGACAATCGATCAGAGACTTATCCATCCTTTTCTACTCCGTGCTCTGCGCCGCTTTCGTAATGAGGCGATTGCCTTCCGTGAAAGGTACATCTTTGTGCTGGATGCCAGTGCCGATGTCCTTGAGAGTTTCGGCACCGGTCCTTTCTCTCCACTAGCCACCGCTGCGCCCCATCACACAAATTCCTATAGGCCTCCTACATGCCCTGCACCTAAATTGCAAAAGTTCCTGTCGAGGAGGGGGAGGCAGGCAGGGCACGTCCTGTCGTTGTGGGGACTTTTTTTGCAGAAACGCCTCCCACCCCTCAAAATTGCCCACCTTTGGTACGACCCTCCCATCCCCATCCTAACCACCATCTCCTAAAATTTCACAAACCTCCTACCAGTTTTCCGGAATTTTCTCCGGGAATCTCCCCCCCCCCCCTTGTTTTCCAAGAAAACTGCTGTCAACAGTGTCTCCGCATGGTTTGTGATAAGGGGCGGGGTGCATACGCGTTACGAACCCTTGCTGGCGATACGAAGGCTGTCGCAGAGGTTGCAAGTTGGGCGGCCGCGGGGGGAAGGGAGTGCATAGCGTTACAAACCCCTCGCTGGGCATACGACGTGCCCGGGGGGGAGGGTGAATTGACACCTTCAATCAACTATTAGAAGTGGAACTTTTGGCGCGCCCTCCGACTTCAGCATATGAAGTGTCCAAATGGGAAGATCGATAATCGAAAAAATCCTAAAAAATCCTTTCAACGCCAAATGGGACCACTGGCGGCCAAATACGATCCATTGATGGGATTCGCCCAACGATGAGGCACGCTAGACGGGAAAAAGCTGGGAAGCCGACATTATCTCGTTAAGAGGCCGCAGTTGAGCAGAGGAGGCTGTGGCCCGATCTGCGCTGTCGACTGACCCAACGATTCCAGTCCACACATAACAGCTAGAGGTTACATAACCCCATACAATATTGTATTTTTTCAGAATTGGAGGTGGCGTTCTGCCGTGGTTGGTGAACTTGTTTCGATCTGAGATCTCGCACGCCTTGAGAAAGGCTATTCATAACCAGGTAAAATTCCATGAACAATTTAATTCATAACATATTCAAATTAATACTAGAAATATTCCGCACTTAAAGACACACTTCAGAACAATGGGTTAGACAGAGAGATGGGCGGAGACTAGCAATCATCGTGCCCTAATTATTGAGTGCCCCTCCTCGCCCTTCTCCTTCCTTCGCCAAAGATGGGAAAGAGAGGACCAATGCGGAAAACAGTATGGCCACGAGTCCCCGCCCATCCAATAACTGCGGATTGTAGCTATAACAACAAACCCAATAATAATTGTTTTTAAGGCATGTGATAGCGCTCGCTCAATACTCCTCGCGAATTTCAATGCATTCTTACTCTCTTTACCACTACATATACCAATCGGAAAGGACTTCTACATTGACTATGCAATCGAGCGAAATCTGACTTATAACAGGTTGGTTTGAGATAGATTTAAAGGGTTTTTCTGAATAATCTATGCTGAATAAACTTCTTTGGAATAACAAAGTCGTAGAAAGTAGAGTACGGGCGCGCGCCGTCGCGAAGCAGCTCGATAGAGGGTTTTACAGAGAGGTCATGTCGCGCGTTGGCGATAACCAGCGAAGGGAGGCCTATTTGGTCGCTGGAGCTAGGCGTATGGAGAAAAATCTTTTCTGCTGTTAACTTTTCTCGGTTTTCTCGTTTCACGTGCGACGGCCCCACTCAACAAGAATTCAGAGAGCGGGCGTAACTTGCGCATTTTTTTTATACAACGACAGGACGTGCCCTGCTTACTGAAACCGGAACCCACGCTTTGTGCTGATGTCGACCAGAGTATCCAAAACGAACGGCAGAACCGTGTCGCAAGCCAGTCCCAAAGCAAATACGTGGCGCGAAGCGGCATCGTGGAATGTCCTGACCTGTATCACTGTTCGGCATCATCTGACTCTCGCTTTCAGGGAAAAACATCGAAAAGGAATACCAATGGTCCTCTTGGAGGATGAGCCACGTACTTGGTTTACACTCTAAATTGTGAGAGCGATTGGAAGTAAAACTCACTTCGTTGTTGGATTATACAGTAGTCAACTTCGCCGTTCCATTTGATAGCTCCAAAACCCGGATGTGGAGGCCAAAATGTCCGTAATCAGCTTATCTGATGAAAAAGAGTCGGACCAATGAGTTCAGCAAGGTAACAGCGACTTTCTCCAGGATGCTTCAGCACCATCTAAATGAAAATCCTTGCCATAAAGGAGCACAACAAACATCTCATTTAATATTGCGGTATTCAGTAAATATAAGTGGGGCCCAATTGGTATTTTAGGTCTGGTCAGGTCTATAGGGCGCACTTCGGTTTGGTGGGCGCACCGAATGTTGCTCAGCGAGGCAATGTAAATTGTAAATTCTGTAACTTCTCGTAGCAGAAGTCGCTCACTTGTACCATTTCGCACCTTCCTAAGGGTTCACAGCTGTCAACCTACTAGATAACATGTAGTAACAAAAGATGCTAGCGAATTTGCGAAATTCCCTCCCAAGCCAAACAGCGCCTGTCCACACTAGGCCTTTTTTGGCTCAAGAGTGCGTCGAGCTGTCATGACAAATGATGCGAAGAGTTCGGGACATTTTTGCGCAGGCAGCACCGCTCGAATGCCGTGTTGACGTCATTCCGCTAGGAAGTAGTAGGTGAAAAAACACCAATCAATCAACAAATCGATAATTTACAGAGAGTTCGTGGAGGCAGAGTTATTGGCAGACATTGTCTACGGCGCTCAAACGTGCCATCCTGAAAAGATCGAGCGGTGGGAAGGTTCGTTTTGGGAGCCTTTTTCCAGGATGGTGGGTCAATATATCGATTTCAGAGGCCGGTCTCATCCCGAAAATGATGGTGATTTGGATGAGCGAAACTGTACCAAACTGCCTGCTCAGTAGCGCCCATGAAGGAAAACTCGTCCAATTTACCGTCACCAAAGATATCCCTGAATTAGCGTCATATCTTAGAACCAGGTACGATTTCACAGCTCAATTTAAGATTATGCCCGAGAACAGCACACAGATGGACTAGAGGGCAACGCCCCTATGTGGACGAGCTGTCCGTGACTGCGATTCCGAAAACAGTTGATGGCCAATTTTACCTGCTTTTCATGTTTCAGCTGCTCCATATTATCGATCTGCATCGGACGCTTTTTCTCGAAGCTTCGAACAGAATTTCCCAATCAATATATCGACCTGCACTTTCACACCTACGATGCTCCATTTGTACGAATGCACGACGATGAAGTTACTATAAACGCTACATTTGCAATTGATTTCTATATTCATCCAAAGAAAGAACATACGAAGAATCTAGCGCGAATGGGTGAGTCCAGTTTTAGGATTATAGTAATTACAGTTTCAGTTGGAATGTCAGTATATACTACTGAGAGCATATTTCGCGACAATCTGATGGGCGGAGACCTTTATTTGTCTGGCACATACTGCGCGGGCAGAATAAGATACAGTCGTCATCCTTACACTTGATTATCAATGTCACGCAGGCTGCGTGAGCGGCCGGTCGTCAAGCACCCGCTACTGACCAATCGGTTGACAAACCAGAGAACGTGACATTAACTGTAATTAATAATCCTTTCGTGTTACTCGTTTTATCTATCAACTTATTTGTCGCATACGCGAATTTCAACGAAAAGCCTGAAGAAGGCATTCAAACATGTGCACCCTCACATTCTCGACGGACACGCCATCTATCAAAGGTGCCACGGATTGACGACTTACATATACGTTCGCAATAACAAGGCAGACAAAGAACATTAAAGACAATTCCCGCGATCAAGTGTTCGGGTAATTGGTGCTCAGTCACGAAGCAGTGGCCCATTTGTAACCCCCAGTGGAAAAAATCGAAAAAAAACCTCGCGAACACCCTGAACACAGACCTCCCTTTAGCAGTGGGGGCGGGGCCTGGACGAGTGTGCCGGACGTGGCTGCCAGAAATCGATGCGATGCGGCAGCCGCAATGGCGTCCGCGACGTCGATCGAATAAACTTTAAAGTGACAGGAAGCACGCTCGGACCGCGACGCCTACGTCCACCTACCCGTGTCAGCGAGCCTTGTGGAAATCGCTATAACTTCCTTATCGCGCCATATTGAGGGATGAAAGTGGTATGGCGTAGAGGGTTCCAAAAAGCATGAAATCATTTTGAGGACCACTTGTTCGCGGGGAGTGTCTTTAAGAATCACAGAAATAATTTGGGAGCACCAAAAGCCCATTCAAAAGTCTCCGCCCATCTAGTTATCACGGAATACGTGCCCATTTATTACGGAATGTGGGCAGACAAGCGAATGAAATACGTCAAAAACGCACCATTTAGGAGTACTCGGTGGATGTGGCTCTCCGCCCATTGAATTATCACGGAACGCGCCTCTGAATGATAAGTACTCTTGGCAGATAAATAAATGAAACATGCCACAATGGCAAATTTCACGTAGATGACTTCAACAATATTTCTATGGGATTTTGAAGCAGTTCTAGAGCTAAATACCTTTGGTCTTCCATGCAGAAGCCTCCTGAACCCCGGATTGGCCTGGGAATTTTCGATGCCAAAAAGTCCCTACATTTGAGCGGATTTACAAGGCATTGGTACTAGTATTCAACGGTTGAAAAAAATGAAGAAAAAACCGATAATCACTTGAGAAACGGGGGAAAAATCGATGAAGGAAGTGCCAACCGAGCGCTGTTGTGGCTCACGAGACAGGCCCTGTGTAGGTCACCAGCATTGGCAGGTTGAGATCAAACATACCATTTACTACCTGTGCCAGGTGTGGATATTTGGCGTTGTTGGGCTTGTAAGGGGCATTCTGCAACTTCGATATTACTTTTGTTTTTGTTCATGTTCACTTACGGGTCCCACCTAACTCTTAGGATGCTGAGAAAGTGAACCTCACTGGTCAGAGGCATTTTTCAGGTCTTTGGTGGCCTGTCCAGCCTTTACTGAGTACCATTGAGTACCCCACCAAACGGAGCTACCACTGGATGTCCCCATCTAGCCGAACTGCGCCAAATTTCCTATATAGAGGCGGTTTTCCAAGGCTGACGAATGAATAGGCGGAATTTATAGCCAAGTAATTGGGTGGGCCTCATTGAAACTGATGCTGAGGTGCCGGTCATGAGCTCCACCTTGCGACCATGCGCAGCAACTAGCAAGTCAACTTTTTCACTGTGAATCAAGGTCTTAAGGCAAATGCCATACACATGATGCCACTTGCAACGCCGTTTTGCCGCGGTGCCATAAGGACTTCAAGGAGTGGCCGTAAAGCTACAAGGACTTCGGGGACTCCTGACCGGCATCTCCAAGATTTTTGAGCCAAGGGAGAGAGAGAGAGAGTTAACGACAGAGTTCTTGTATTTCTTCTAGCCTTTCCAAGATTGAGCAACTTTATTGAAGGCCTACGTTTCGGCGTCTTCGCCTTCGTCAGAGCCTGAAATGGTCAAAAAACATTTCGAGACCTGCTCGCTCAAACATTTCAACAATACTCAAGACGATTTCCACATACCAGTAAATCACCCAACGGTATCGATCTAGGGCGGAACGCTGGCTTACCTTGATCTTGGACGCGTGACGCAGGGACGACCACCCTGTAGAGGCTCAAGCGTGGAGTAAGAATTACTGGTAACCTCCCTCGACCTCTCGGTAGGTCAAAACTTGCAGAGGTCGAGAAAGGCTGCGAGCTCACGCGTTATGACCACACACTCCTCCTTGCGATTCATTTGTGGGTCCTTGGCCGTGATCCAAAAAGCCTCCAGTGGACTATTCTAACGACAGAGTGATTTTTATTGATGAGAAGGTCCATAAATTTCGTCCTTTCCACTGCGTTTCTTAAGGAATTCCTCGCCCAGCTTATGCGACCACAAGGCGGCGTTACTAATGAGGCGGGGCTTCCTATGAAGTCTTCTGGTAGTCAACATGACGCTTCGTGCAAGATGGCAAAAAAAATCGCATCGCGTAACTATCTGGTGCGAGGATCTCATGATCCCTCCATTTATTGATCCAAGCCATGCAAATCCGCAAAACGAGCACTCCATATCCCGAAGATGGGGAGGGCATGGCTGCCCATTCATTCGAGCATGACGGCTTCTGGTGGGATATTCCTGTTTAGAGGCAACTGTAACTATATTTTTTGTCTTGCATAAAACAGGATGGCAATCGTCTCAGATGAAAAGAGCCCTTGAAAAACACATCCCACGTCATGCTTGGATGAAGTACGCAGCCACGCCCTCCCCATCTCCGGGATATGGAATTTAGGTGTGTAGATGTCGATTAAATGGGAGCCCATTTACCAGTACCACTGGATCATTCATAGATCGATTCGTTTAATTACGTAGCCGTTCTCAATACAGTGTGATTCGCTGCGGAGCTGGGGCGTTACAAAGGGTTTCGCGCGTTGCTAGCCTGTTCTCCATCGATTGTTGAAGAAAGTAAGCGACAATAATCGATGGGGAACGACTGATACGAATGATATGATATAGTATTGTCGTTTACTTGCTTCAACAAATGATATAAAACGGCCTGCGCCTCGTCAAATCCAGCCCCACCCCTTTCCCCGGGCGCGCCCTCGCATTCGCAGCGAACAAAACAGTGGCTTAGAAGAGAGTGAATAGATTGATATGGCGATAGAAGTATACTAGATGAGGAGCAAGACAATGCTGCCCATCTGTCCCACCTTTCAAGTTAGTTGACTTAGGGCTTGAGAACGCTCCGCCCCTTTTGCTTTACTTTTCGCAATTGATAGCACTATTGTTTTCGCTGCAGACAATGGGGCGTGTTAAAGGCTGAGTTCGGCTAGACGTCAGCCCGTCTACCAATAGTTGAAGCAGAAAAAGACAACAATTCGGGGAAAACATGGTGGCGCCGCGCGAATTACAGAACTGGAAGATTTTTGGCCCCCCACTTCTAATGATTGCTTTCAGTTCTGGAATCTTCATCGATCATTCTACCTGAAATTGTTGGCAACCGACTGACTGGCAGCCTGAATGGCACTGAACTTCAACTCTGGGAGGACTTTTCCGATATCGGCGAAATGTCTAAAACGTACGAAATTTCAATGGGATTTGATGTCTCTTGGGCCTGCAGCAATTAACAGTCGATATCATCGCCATCATTCGCGGCAATGTCAGGAGAGATGGCATGAGCCCACTTGCGGCGCTCCCTACCACTGGTTGTTTCCTACCTGAATCGATCCCGAACCGATCACTATTGGTAGAAAAGGCAGCCGGTGGCGGGCTCACTTCATCCCTTCCGACACCGCCCCGACTGATTGCTTCGATATCAACTATACCCCTGAATCAAATGCGCCGCTTGGTGCTGTTACTGGAACTGTACTCGGTTTGACCATATGATTTCAGCTTCTTGACGATGTTCGAAAAAGTGTTCGCGGTCACCGCTCGTGTGATGGTGGAAGCCGTACTTCATAAAGGAATCCCGCTGCCCATTTTCGATAACGTGACCATATCAGGCAGGTTTCCTTTAGCCTTCTAGCCGAAAAGAAGCCTGTTAATAAGGAACTAACGGTAGAGCTACAGCGCTACCACATGAATTAAAGACACAGCCCAAGCTGATCATAATAGCCGGCGACAGAGAGC